GGTCAAAAAGTGCTGAATACTCAGCATGGTGTGGGCAGGTGCACTCATAAATGATCCATCATGAAATGGGCAAATGCTTTGAAAGAGTCTTCAAAAAAAATTAACCAAAGCCAAACACAGCCTCTCACAACAATGCCAGCCGGTCCACAGATACAGGTGGGTTCCTAGAACACTTACTTGGAGGGGGAAGCCTGTATTACAAGTGGCCCGCCGTCTAGAAGATAATTTTGATTTTTTGGGGGTCCCCCCTGTACTGTCCTAAATACAACTCCAGAAGTTATATATAAATCTATTGTTTTCTAAATTCAATCACTTTTCCACCTACTTACCTAAAAATTTCCAAGATGTTTTGTTTTCACATATATAGCAACTGCAGTGGCCACTGAAACCAAAGTTTATATATTTTTGGTTGTAGTAAAATACACATAATTTACCACCGTAACCTTTTTTAAGTGTACAGTTAAGTGGCATTAAGTACATTCACATTTGTTGTACAACCATCACCACCATTCATCTTCAGGGCCTTTTCATTTTCCCAAACTAAAACTCTGTAACTTCTAAACACTAACTCCCTATTCTTCCTTCCTTCTGGCCCCTGGCAACCCCACTCCACCCCACTCTCTTGCTGCTCTGGGTACTTCATATATGTGGAGACATACAGTGTTTGTCCTTTTGTGACTGAATTATTTCACTTGGCATAATGTCTTCAAGTTCATCCATCTTGCAGCATATGACAGATTTCATTCCTTTTTAAAGATGAATAATATTCCATTGTATGTATACACCACGTTTGTTTATCCATTTATCCATCGATGGACACTTTGGGTGCTCCTACCTTTCGGCTATTGTGAATAATGCTGCTGTGAACACGGGTGTACAGAAAAAGGAAAGGTATATATTTTTTATTATCTCTTCTGATAAAGCAATTAAATAAATTCGTAAAACTGTGCTCTATCTGTTTTGTAACTCTGAGGAATTGTATAAAGAATTTCATAAAGTGGGACACACCTGCATTCTTTATTGTTCCAAGCTAGGAGAACAATAAAGAACATCTATAGGTGTCAATTTCACACTGATGTAGAAAAGCACACTATAGTCTACCAGTGAGGAAATAATTCTTTAATGGTGAATTGTAAGTGCAGATGTCAAAACTCTCAGGTGACTGTCTCCTGTCTTGGTCAGAGAGAGTGCCTGACGCTCTGTCCTTCTATTGAAAGGACCCCCTCCTTCCCAACCCCTCCTTCAGGAGGGCTGGCCTAACCTACCTTCAGCCCCTTCACTAGGTTATTCTGACATGGGGCTGTGGCTCTCTCAGCAACATCAGTGACCAGGAACTCTGCAGCTCTCTAAGTCTTTCTACACTTTGGGAGAAATAATAAAGTATAGAAGGACATGTTTATTTGCTTTTGCCCCACACCTCCTCTGGCTCAGGATTGCCACCTCAGGCATTCTCAGGGTTGTTTGCAAATGGGATAAGAACAAAATGCCAAAAGACACAGGAGGGTGAGAAAAGAAAAAATTCCTGGAGCTTGAAAATAGGGGCTCCATTTCCATCTGCAAAGCAGGTTTGGAAATTTGGAATTGGAACACCACATAGAGGGTGTCCGCATTTCCTTCAGCACTTCCAGTGATGTTTTCTGTAAGAGGGGAAAAATGCATAAAATGTCTTGGGCACCAATATGTGTTGGTTGTCATTCATGCTTAAACTTTCTGATTGCCCTGCTATCTGGGTCCCTATCCCCATTTTACAATGGAGGACACTGAGGCTCAGAGATGTTTAGAACTTTCTGCGGGTTGTGGAGTTTGGACGTGAGCAGAGCCCCGAGTGACTCTAGCAGTGCTGCTTCCCTCACCCTGCCCTGCTCCTGACCCCTCCAGTGAGGGCATGTCCCTTATATTCCGTGGAATGACTTTCAGAAGGAAGGTTGTGACAGTCTGTGCCTCTCCCTTTATGGGCGCATTAGATTTTGACAGAGATGTGAGAGGAACCCTCCTTTCCAAGCCCCAGCCATGCCTCGTCCTCCAGCTTGGAGGCAGTTCTTGGGGCACAAAAGGAAGTTCCAGAAATCGGTGTTGTCCAACCTGCAGCCCATGGGCCACATGTGGCTCTGGGTGGCTATGAATGTGACCCAACACAAAATCACAAATTTACTTAAAACTTTATGAGATTATTTTTTGCGATGACGTGTCACAATGTATTTAAAGTGTGGCCCAAGACAACTCTTCTTCTTCCAGTGTAGCCCACCCAGAAACCCCAAAAGGCTGGACACCCCTGTAAGATATTTCTTATTTTCTGTTGGCTCAGTTCTTTTTTCCCCCTCATTTCCATGGGCCAACAGAAACCCTGCCTGCCTCAACCCATCTTTTACCCCAATACCTATTACTAACCAACTGCTTAACCACCTTCAACAATAAAAAGGATAGTACTGAAAATTTAGGTTGAGCACCAGGAAGAACTTCCTGGCTCTGATACTCTGGAACATAGAGATGAGAAGCTCAAAAAGGCTCTGTGTACTCCTTTCCAGGAAAGCTACAAGGAGAAGTCTCACCCCGCCCCCCCGCCCCCCCACCAGCCTGCCTGGATCCAGTACAGCTCTGCCTGCAGGCTGGGGGAGGCACCAAATGACCTCTAGAGGGCCCTGCCAGCCCTGGAAGCAGGGCACCTCCTCTGCAGTCACCCATTGGCCACAGATGTTCCCTGTCATCAGTCAGTCAGTGCATCTGTTTGCTGTGCTGCTTGTTTAAAGAGCAAGGAGTTTGCTAATTGAAAAACTAAAAGATCTCTTCATCTCACTCACAGGCGCACGAAATCCTCTCAGCTATGCAAGATCAGGGTAAAAAAGGCAGCACAGAGCTGCAGTGGTGCAGCGGTACAGCTGGTATACCCCATGGAGGTCATGTCTTGCTCTCTCTTCTGCTCCTTGAATAAGCAAGCTACCTTCCCCACCTGGAAACAGCCAGGTTACAATTTGTCTTAACACTTTCTCATCTATGATCCTCAATGCTGCAGAGAGGAAGGTATTTTTGGACCCAATTTGAAGATGGGGAATCTAAGGCTCAGAGAGATTATACAATTTAGCCAAAGTTACACAACTGTTAGATAGCAGCGGCAGGACACCAATACAAGGGCTCTGACTAGTTTAAGAGAGGGGTGGCTTGTCTACTGGAGGGCTCTTCCCCTGGACCCATGTAGGGATGCTGCGCTAAAGGCACCAAGTCCTTCCTTAAGTAGATCAAACCTTGGAAAGAATGGCTGAAGGGTGGACGAAGAGGAACACTGGGGTTTCAACTGTATCTGTAATGTTTTATTGCTTTAAAAGTAAATATATCAAAATGTTAGGATTCCCGAATATCTCTCTATGAAGCTTGCAGGGGGATGGGGAACAGTTCAGATCCACACAATAATACCAAAGGCAAGGAGTAGAGGAAGAGGTGTGCCATGGGTACGTACCCCTTCTCCAATTGCCTCCAAAAGATGGCTGTGTTTGAGAGAAGTGATGGCCTGTGCATGGGCAGATCTGTCCAGTGCTGGATCTCTGTGGAATTTGGAAGGTCGCTCCATTTCTCTGGGCCTTGGTTTCCCATTCTAGAGCAATGAAAGTGGGGATTAGATGAATGCTAAGGTCCTTTCTGACTTTAATTTTCTATAATTGTGGATTATTGGAGGAAATACAAACTTTATCTTTGTGGTCCAGAGTGGCTTGACTCCAGCCATGATGGACAAACTCCCTGCTAGTGAAGGCCAGTCCTTTGACCATGTGTTCCCTCTGCCTGGGATGCTGTGCTGCCTTCTCCTTGTGGAACTGGGCTTTTTCATGACCAGCCTCTGTGAGGTCTCTTGTCTGTGCTTCAAAGCACCTGCTAAAGCCACAGGTGCTGTGGTACTTTACACTATTTCCTGGAGGTCTCCACTCTGGATTGTCAGGTCAAGAGCAAGGACCTGGTTTTGTTCTTCTCTGTGACCCCAGCATCTGACAGAGCCCAGCAAAGGGAAGAAAGTCAGTCACTAACTCTTAAAGAAGAAAAAAAAGGGAAGGAGAGAGGGTGGTAAGGGGAGAGAAAGATTTCTCTGCAGCCCAAAGGACCCTGGGACCCCAGCAAAGGACCCCAGCACAGCAACCCTCACCACTGCCTCCTTTCCTTCCCCCCATCTCAGTCTGGAGCCAAAGGTGAGCTGGAACCCCAGAACCTCCTTTTTGAAGTTTTATTTCAGGTCAAGTCTAAGCAGACTTTCCCCTGAAAAGAGTCAAGCAACAGAAGGGGGTTGATCACAGGGTTTCCAAGAGCAGAGGTTGGAAAACGGGCCTTGAACTTCTCTCTCCCTGTTATGAGACTCTGTGGATGGCAGTGCCTCCCCCCACTCAATCCTTGTTCTCTGACTTCTCAAAGGAGGGAACAGACAAGCAGGTGATGAAGACACTTGTCTTGGCATCCCTGCATAAAGCAAGGTGTTACTTTGAGAGTCTGGGGTGGTAGAGCGCAATGCGTCGTCGACCGCTCAACTCCTGCCTTGGCTCCGACCTGGCTCAAAGCCTGGGAAGGCGGTATACCCCCACCTCCACGCAGCTCCCTCCAAGCACAGACGCTCGGAGCCCTCACACCCGCGCACAGTGGGACAAGGCGGGGCTTGTCCCAGGGGCGGGACCGCGGCGCCCCGTGGCCAGGGCGGCCCCGCCCCCCTCCCTCGAACGCTCTGGGTGCACCGGCGCCACGGAGCTGTCCAGGCTCAGAGCCGGAGCTGGCCGCCCTCCGCGCGCACCGCGCCGCCTCCACGCCTCGTCCCAGCGACCCACGCCCATCCCGCGGCAGGACCGCCCCGCCCCGCCCCGCCGCAGCCGGTCCACTGCTCCCCGCGGGCCAAAGCCGGCCGAGCGGCTGCCCGCCGGGGCTCTGAACGGCGCGGCGGGGCCGGGAGCCAGGGGCCCGCCGAGGAAAGCGGCGGCCCAGACGGCTGCCGGAGGGGCGGCCGCGCGTGGATGCGGCGGGTGCCGGAAGCCTCGAGCAGCCCGCGCCGTCTCTGCCCCAGGGTACCCTATGGCTTGAAGGTAAGCGCCAGCAGGATGGAGCGACAGGCGGTCCAGGGCCGAGTAAGGTCGCAGGGAGAGGAGGAGGGAACTGGGAGGCTGGTGCCGCCGGACCAGAAGTTTGGCCACTCTGGCGCCGTCTGCCTCGGACCTCTTTGCCTGCGGTCTAGATCTCCACGGACTTTCCGTCGGGCCGCTTGCCCGGGGCTGGGGGTGGGGCGACCGGAATGCAGCGGCTACCATCCCCTCTCCCTCCCTCGGTGTCCTTCGCGCGGCTTGGGCGGGGATCCTCGCTACGGGCACGAGCGGGCGGGGCTGGGGCAGCCTCTCCCCGGAGCACAGAGAGCGAGCCCCGCCGAGCCGCAGCTTCAGAGGGCAGCCGCCTTTCGGCGATCTCAGGAGGGAGCTTTCTGCCTGGCAGCCGAGCCCGGGACCCCAGAGCGCGCGGTCAGAGGTCTCGACCGCCCTGGAGGAAGAAAGGTTGTGCTTGACAACTCTGCATTTGTGCGACCTGTGACTTTTCAGTTTCTAAGGACAGAAGCCAAGGATCGGGGAGAGGCCAGTTCTGGCTTTAAGCCTACTGTCTGATGTGCTGCTGTCCTTGGTACTGAATCTCCGTTCTCCTCCACCTCTCTGAGATCCAGCCCAAGAGGGAGGCTGGGGTTTACGATGGTGGAGGCAGCAGCGGAGAGTGACTCCCGACTCTGGAATGGGCCAAGGGCCCCAGTAGGGCGCGGTGCGGAGGCAAGAGGCAGCTCTAAGCGCCAGACACAGCGCGTCCCCCTCCCTGTCTGAGCCGGGCAGCCTGTGTGCGGTTCCTCTTGAAGAGCAGAGGTGAGAGGCTGTGTGTGCGCGTGTACGCAACAGGCTTCGCCATGGATACAAGCCACAGTGCGGAAGCCCTGCGGGGACGGTCTGTGCTCTCAGCCATAGGGAAGCTGTCTGACCGAGTCACCGTTGCCCCATCTGGGACCTCACTACATTTTTTTGTGCGGGGCGCGGGGGGGGGGGGGGGCTCCTGAGATCGATGAGGTACAAGAGGCTTTGTGGATCTCTTTCCAATTTCCTCTGGATCCAGTTACTTCTGGATTTTTGACCAGGCTACAAACCTTTCAGGCTAATTTTCCCCAGGGACTAGGTTTTCGGTGATTCTCCCTGATTGGGACACAAATACTCTGCGTATCCTTGATTCAACCTGCAGAGTTAGGACCACTTGAAAAGGAATCATTCTTCTTATTTTTTCCCCCCTGTTTCTGCTGTTTGATGAGAGTGGGCAGAGAGAACCAGGAGAAATGTGACTCGTTGCAAGAGAATCAGCTAGTGGCTTGCTGGGTCCTAGCCTTCTGCCATTGACTTCTTTGCTTAGTGTTCAAAATTCCTGGCATATGTGATGGGGGGTAGGGGGGTTGTGTTGCCTCTGAAATAAAACATCTGACAAGGAAGAGGTTTGAGAGGGATAGACCTCGAGCCAAGTGAGGGCAGCGATAACCCCAGCCATGTTCTCTCTCTTTTTAAAAGATTTTATTTATTTCTTTTTAAGGAGAAGGGAGGGGAGGGAGAAAGAGAGGAGGAGAAACATCGCTGTGAGAGAGAAGCATATGCCCCCTGTACATGCTTCAACCAGGGACAGAACCCACAACCCAGGCATGTGCGTTGATGGGAAGTCAAACCAGGGACCTTTTGCTTTGTGGGACAATGCCCAACCGATTGAGCCACACCGCTAAAGGCCAGCCTCATTCTCTTAAAGAACATTATGAGTTCCTTCGACCTTCCCTGCACAGCCTGGGGATGGCAGGTGCCTGTAAAATGGGGGATTCTGACTTATTGTAGAGGTCTAGGGCATTTCTCCAAGGTCATGCTTTGTTTTAATGAACTCCCTGCATCTGAATCACCTGGGCATCTGGTTAAGAGACATATTTTTGGTTCTTCCCAGAAGGATTGCTGAATGAGGGTCGCAAGCTGGGGCCCAAGGATGCACTGTATATGTTAATTATATTTCTGTGTGATTCATATGTCCACTGGGTTAAGAAATCCCCTCTTATAAAAGTTCTGACTCCTTTGCCTAGAAGAAACAAGACTAAGGCCTTTCACCCACTCCCTCCTTGCCTCCTGCAGTTATACATATTAGATTATTGAGGTGTGGGGCTGTTGTTGATGATGGGACCATTCCCCTGATTAAATTCCTTTGCAGCAATAAAGGGTGCAGCTCTCTCTCCTCTCCCCCAGGATCATCCTGGACATTTCTTCTTTCTAAAACAGATTTTTAACTTCTTTAAGAATCTCCAGTATGGTTTCAGGTTGACCTGTGTAAATACTAACTCTCCCCCTCTTGAGGGTCAACCAGTATATTCCTCTTACCTTCCCCTTCGGAGGGAATTATTGCCTTTCATTATCTATGTGCTGTGGTCTGCTAACCCAACTGCTCCTGAAATACCAAGGAATGATTAGTTCAGCTTAGTAGCATGTCATGTTCCCCAAAGCTGGTGGCCACTTGTGCCTTGCTGGCAGTGACATATTGACTATATTGATTTGGTTTTTGTACTCTGTAAGCTAGGAAGCTTGTGGGGATGAGTAAGTCTAGCAGTGATGCTTGTGGGCTAGTCAGTCTCCTATCTTCATATGCAAGGTTAAATTATTTTTGTTTAGAACATGCAATGATGCAGGCAAATCTGAACTTGAGAGAAACCCTTCTGTTTCTCCTTCTATACCAGGGAAACAGGGAGCTCAGGGACTTATGAAAAATATATGGCCTCATATATACCTGGGATTGATCTGCTGAAGTTAGACTGGTCTGAGGTCACTGTTCTATGGATAAACACACAGAAGGGGAAAGGCATGCGGACTAGGCCTGGAAACAGCTGTCTCCATCTCCCCCACAAGTGAAAGTCTCATTTTGGTGTTTAAGAAGCATAACTGTGAAGACAGCACAGGCAAGGGGAATGATGAGACTTCCTTGAGCCACCCCTCCCAGGAACTCGCATTTTCTGAACTGCCACCCTCCATTTCTGTCTCCCTTGGTGCTTACTATCTATGAATCGCCAGCAGTGAAAGTGTTTCAGCACCTAGGAAGGAAACAAGAATCAAAGTTGAGGTTTTATAATGCCAGGACCCCAAGTACCAGATTGCATATCACAGATCATAGTAACTTAAGATTTGAAGTCTTGAAAATAATAGAATGGCTGTCCAGTGAGTCACATCTCCTCTGGGACATCTTAGTTACCTTAGATTATTTAGGTTCCCCAGAGGTCACTCTAGATACCCCAGACCCCAAGCAGGAAAGCTTTTCTTTTAGTCCAGAAACATGGTGGTCTCTCTCCCATTATTATAGTTTTCCCAAAAAGGAATAGTGTAAGCTTTCTGGTTCTAGCACCAGGATTGCGCTCAGCAAACAAAGCTTCTCTGTCCTATCCGGAGAATATCATATTTGTTCAGCAAGAGAGCATTCTGCACCTAGGAAGTGTTTGGAAAGCACAACAGCAGGAAGGGCACAGTTTGGTTCAGCTTCTCAGCACACAGCATCCCCTGGATGTGGCTGCTCATTTACCTGAACCCCAGGGTGATATTTCCCTCCCCCTAACCTCAATAGGGCATTTAATGGCCCTGGGAGGACTCAACGATTTGGCTATGGGATTATGTATAAGCCCTCCAGCTCTCCAGGATATTAGCTGGAACCACTAAAAGTGTCCAAGTTGCTTATGTACCAATACTCGGTGGTGGATGGAAATGGCCAGCCTTTTAAATTACTCTGATTGTGTCGGAATACAGTATTAATACATCTTGCCTCTCACCTGTCACCATCACCAATGTAACTGAAGGTTTAAAAAAATTTAAACAATAGACTCATGCTATCTAAATGCACAGGCTCGGAAAGTAGTTTGATTATAGTGTCAGTAATGTGGGTGGAGGAGTAGAACTACAAAATTTAGTTTTTTGGTTTGTTACTCTTTTGGTCTGGAAAAAGGAGATAAAACTTATCCTTCTGGTCTGCACATACTCCCTCTTCTTTCCCCTTTCACCTCAATTTGATAAATGGGTTAAATCCACACCTTTGGCAGCTGGGATGTCTCCTGGGAGGGCCCAGCCTCCTCTTTCCCTGGGAGACCAGGGAATGTTTCTCTGCAGAGGAGCAGAGGCCCCTGCTGGCTCCAGCGTACAGGAAACAACTGGAGGTGACGCACTGGGGGTTCCCCCAGCCCCTGGATGGAAGAGGCTGTGCTGGGGCAATGTCTCAAAGTCTGAGACTTGGAGTCCACTGGGGCATCTGGGAAAGTATGGAGCAGTGTGTGGAGGCAGGAGCTGAAGAGAAGTGGCCTCAGGAGGGCCCTCAGAAAAGGCTGATGTTAGGGATGCATGTATAAGGCATTGGCTTAATATAGTTTGGGCAACTTTGTCATCATCTTATGGCATCTGGAGGGAACTTTACTTTTTCCAGAAGGAGATGGGGAATTCTTTGCTGTCTGCTGTGATGGGGAGGGGATGGAGGGAGGATCCTGGCTTTCCCTGGGGCCCTCTGAGTGATGTCAGCCTGTTCCCAGACACAGGGTGCTGAGTGAAGTCAGGCAGTGTCAGCCCCCAGGGCCCTGTCAATAGGCCCACGCCAGCCTGGCAGATGCTTCCTCTAGGGCACTGCAACTCAGTGCAACTCAGCGCAGCTCAAAGGTGCAGAACGGCAACCACATCTGCAAGGACACTCCTCTGTGTATGTCTGGGAATCAGAGTGAGTCCTGGGGCTTGTCCGTTTGTCTTTGGGCTCCTTTAGAATGTGTCTGCCCTTCCTGTCTCCTTCTCACCCCATTCTTATTGTTTGGATTCCAAGTGGCCCAGCAGGGGAAAGGCATTAGAAATCAAATTATTTTTGTTATATGCTGTATAATTATCTCCTCTTCTTCTTGTTGGCCCAGGCAACAACCTCACTTAGTAATTCCCCAGGAACCCTTGGTCTCGGAGAGTGGCTCACTCACAGACTTCCTTAGAAGGTCTGCTTTTGACAAGCGGTCCTGCTCATCATTCCCTCCATCACT